GGGGGGGGGGGGGGGGGGCGGCAATCCCTTAAACTCCCAAAGAAGTTTATTCTCTCTGAGAGTACCTTTGGGATATAAAAGATTCAGGATTAGACTTAACATCACCACCCATAATCAAGCCACTTGGTCTACAGCATAACACCTAGCAACCAATACTTTATATTGAAAGAAGGGGTACCAAGTTAATGCAATTTAAATAGTAAAGCTGGCGTTAACATCATTAAGATCAAGCGAGAAGCGATCTAGATGACTCGAATGTGAACGCACCCTATGAGTCATTTGCAGTAAGTGACTTTAAAGATTGGGTTACCCTTTCCACAGGAAGGCCAAATTACTACACAAGGTTCACAAACTCCACCAGATTAGTTTGTCTTGGCAGACACAGGCACTGAGAGAACACATGCTTGCATGGTCAGGGTCTGACCAACTACCTGGCCCTCTCTGACTTCATGTTATAAACACACATATCAAGAAAATGAAAGCTGCCCGTGGGGCATCATCAGGCCTTCCCAACTACCAGACTCGGCACCTACGGGTCCAGAATAAACCGGTATATCTGACCACACTACCCGTTTTCAAGGTGTGTGTCAGATCGCATAAAAGAGTATCATACCCTATCACAAATTCTGTAAGCCTACCTGTCATCCGGGTATCGCGCCTCGTTTTCGTCAAGTAGGAGTCGTATGAATACAACAGACGACTCCCTCAATCAGGGGGTGGAAACGCGCGACTTATATGATTAAGGGCCCCTTTACACTGGACGGCGTCCTTTCTGCGTCTAGCAGTACGGCCCCATTTGAGAGTTAATAAAATATGATACTTTACGTGCCGACAACTGGCCGATCATTGAGCATTCATTCTGATACAAAATCAATGCTCGTGCCTCCTTATTAAGACCACAACGATGCCAAATTTCATGGTCGCAGATAGGACGCAGAAAGAACGCCGTCCAGTGTAAAGGGGGTATAAGACGAGCCCAGCCGTCAGTACCGGTTATTGTTTTGTGACCTTGAGGAGCAATTAGGTTTGGTCGTTGCGGCACGCATGAACAGTAGTTGAACTTCCACACCTCGGTCTTTTGTTTTTGACAACTGTTCACTCGTCATCGAGGCGCTTGTTCAAGACTACAGGCTGATATCTACTAGTACTACCAGTGGCTTCATTAGTAACGTTCCCACAATACTTAAGTTTTCTGTCAGTGCGTACAAACCCTGAAAAAGGACAGCCTGGCTGACGAGAACAATGGACGTTTCTCACCCCTCTCTAGGATTACCCCTGCCCTCAATCTCGTCCATCCCGGTAGTCATGAAAATATTTAACCCCCGACAGAATATGCTTCTGCTATCAAAATTAGGTCTACTTTTCTAAATTAATATATAAGTTTGCAAGTTCTTATTTACAAAACATCATTGGCTATGTTCGAACCTAAATTTTATGTTAAAAATTGCGGTACTGTCAGATTTTAGCATAAACAGAAAATTGCAGCAGCGCATGAATCTAGATGAGATGCACTACTTTCCAACCCCGCTTAGGATCATTGCTATCACATCGCGCACCAGGCAAAATCGGTGTGGTGGCTGATACTCTGTAATGCGATCTGACACACACCTTGAAAACGGGTAGTGTGGTCTGATAAACCGGTTTATACTGGACCCGTAGGTGCCGAGTCTGGTAGTTGGGAAGGCTTGATCATGTCAAGCTGGCTGCATTTGTTGAGACATGGGAGCAATAGTATTGCACTGGCTTATTAACAGTATTTTTTCTAACTTCAAATTGGAGGGTAATTGTGCAAAGATGTTTCTAAATACTATGTCATATATTGTGGTGTAAATACTTTATCATGAATTAGGCTGGGTTAATTCTGTCCATTAACAATTTAAAGGAAGTACTGCATGGCAATGATTTTTCCTTTTTCTGTCAAAATGAATAAAAAAAACAGACATTATCAAAATACTGCACATGTAATTGCATGCTGAATTTCTTTCTAGGAACATCAGCATTTTAACATCTTTTAGAAACTTACAGGTATTTTCGACGTCCTAAGGAACTCCAGCAGAGCCTCCAAGGAGCCCAATGTGGACGCCTGGACAAACACTCCACGCTCAGACAACTTGATTGAGCCAAGAACATCCTTCAGGGCATTTGCCAGTTCCTCCTGGAAATGGCAGAATATATTCATTAAAATAGACTTCATGGGATATGAAACAAAGTCATTCTTCGTTTAAAATTGGAACAACAAAAAATAAATAATGAGAATTAATTTATGTACTGATTTAATATCTCAATAAATATTAACCATGCCATCTTTGTCTGGCCTGTTTCAACTTCAGCTACAATAAATAAAATCGAAAAAAAAAAAGTGAATTGCAATGTTCAGTGAGGTAAGTTTTCCTCATCCAGCTGCTCACCACAGGGCAGCAGGTCTGAAACTCTAGCCTGAGTCATCACTACACTGCATACATGGGGGCATATTTACTTTGTCAATTAGGCATATTAAAATAAAAAATTTCATCCATATTATCACAAACATGATATGACCAAAAATCAATGCATCAAATTTCCTGTAATTTTCCAGTTAATCATAAATATTTTCAATAATATTTAAATACTTTTTTAGTTTCACAGGATGATTTCTGATTTATAATGATTAACTCTTAAGCAAAACAAAATGAATATGTATTTCATTTTTATTTCTCTTTACCTTGTATATCTCTATTTCATCTGGATACCTGGCCACATACAGGGGCAGACCAGCTAGAGTCTTCTCTAGGTCCTTGGCAATCAGCTTCACTCCCTGAGCTGCCACGACTACTTTCTGCTTCTCATATTGGTTCTGCAACAGAAGAAATTATCTTCTGATAAATGGTGAGACTGCATGTACTTTTACACTTTCACATGTGCATATGTGCATCTGCTACCAGTGCTTCCAATTACATACATCTTACAATGTTGGTTAATTTGAAAAAAAAAAAAAAAAAAAACATATGACATACTGCCCATGGTTAGTGAGTAAAATAAATGCCCATGGTTAGTGACTAAAATAAATACATCAATTAATTAAAACAATTAATTAAATAAAATAAAAAATACTTTCAGCCACACCTACCTTGACCCTCAGTTCCTTCATGGCTGGTGGCATGAGCAGACCACGTATCTGTGTGACTATGGGACCGTCTGTTCCAGGGACCACAACCGTCTGACCTTCCTCCAGTTTACCATTCACTAATATCACATCAATAGTTGTACCTAGACCCTGGATGGCTTTCACCTAAAATGTATTATTCCTGTTCATTATCACTGTTCTTAAAGCTGTTACTGCAATAGTAAGCACAACATCTTGCATAATTAAAAAAATATGTGCAACAAACATTATATTCCTTGGTATTTTCACATAAAATAATTCAAGAGTAGTGAATAATGAATTTAATTCTTTTAAGTAATCAATTCACTAAAAATATGACTGACTGCTGATACTAATTTTGAATGCTATGCTGTACAGTGCTGCCACCTATGATCAATTAAGAGTACCTCCATGACAGTAGCTTGGAGCTCTTCACTGTAGGAGATTCTCTTTGCCAGCATGGTTTGTGTTAGCTCACAGATCAGAGCCAGCAGGTTCCCCATGCCGTCCCCTGTGTGAGCAGATGTGGGGACCAGGGACACGTATTCGCGAGGGTTTTTGTTCTCATAAAACAGGGCAGCATTGAGACTCTGAAATCATGTACCATAATTAAACAGGACAAGAACTGATTCAGATTATTTGGTCAATAAATTATTATCTGACAAAATACAATGCATACCTACAAGGATTAATAACTACATTATCATCTATAAAAAAAGAAATTCATTAATTATATAACTCATTTAAATAAACATCTGTTCCAAATTTTCGTTTATTTATATTATAACAATCCTTTCTAATTTTATTTAATACACTGACCTTTATACAACCTTTTCTCTAGAAAACTAGGTGGCTGATGACACACATAATAAAGTTACAGGTCTTTTCTCACCTGCTCTGCAAACTGAACAATAACTTCCTGGACTCTTTCATCAAATTCATCTTTAGTGTTCTTACTCTGCTTCTTTATTGTATTCTGAACGTCGTTATTTGGATTGCTCTTCCATTGGAATAAACGATCAATCTGAAAATAATTTATCCATGTTAAACAAACATTTCTCAATTTTATAAATCATGTTTTTTGCAGAAGCCTAACAAGGCAAAAATCTGGCAAGTGTGCAGCAGCCTTTTATCAAATGCATTAATATAAGAAAACACTTTTGTAATACAAACTTGATAAGGCATCAGCTCTGAAAACTTCGAAACTTATGGTTTTTGAGGCATCATTCTCTGACCTACTTAGTAGTAACAAACTTTATACTTACACTCTTTTTACTTACTCTTAATTTCTCTTTATGCAGTTATCATAAAATTTAACTAGATAGTCACCCACCTTGTTCAGAGCTACTACAAAAGGTGTCTTCCTGTCCCTCAACAGATTAATGGACTCCAGTGTTTGAGGTTCTAATCCATGCATAATATCTACCACCAAGATGGCTATGTCGCAGAGGGAGGAGCCACGAGATCGAAGGTTACTGTAAGCATTAAACAATCAATTCCATCTGCATATTTATTTATTTATTTATAGGAAATTAATTCAAATGAAGGGAAAATGAAGATTACCATTAATCACCATGCTCAAACTCTGACAACTAGGCACTCAGACTTACAAATGCCAAGAAGATATAATAAATGCAAGAGTGTATTCCTATACTAGGTACATAAAACTTTCACATACCTGAAAGACTCGTGACCAGGAGTGTCAATAATCAGCAATCCAGGAATTTTAAATTCTTGTTTTGAAAACTGNGGGGGGGCGGCAATCCCTTAAACTCCCAAAGAAGTTTATTCTCTCTGAGAGTACCTTTGGGATATAAAAGATTCAGGATTAGTATTAACATCACCCATAATCAAGCCACATGGTCTACAGCATAACACTCAGCAACCAGTACTTTATATTGAAAGAAGGGGTACCATGTTAATGCAATTTAAATAGTAAAGCTGGCGCTAACATCATTAAGATCAAGCGAGAAGCGATCTAGATGACTCGAATGTGAACGCACCCTATGAGTCATTTGCAGTAAGTGACTTTAAAGATTGGGTTACCCTTTCCACAGGAAGGCCAAATTACTACACAAGGTTCACAAACTCCACCAGATTAGTTTGTCTTGGCAGACACAGGCACTGAGAGAACACATGCTTGCATGGTCAGGGTCTGACCAACTACCTGGCCCTCTCTGACTTCATGTTATAAACACATATATCAAGAAAATGAAAGCTGCCCGAGGGACATCATGTCAAGCTGGCTGCATTTGTTGAGATATGGGAGCAGTAGTAATGTATCGGCTTATTAATAGTATTTTTCTAACTTCAAATTGGAGGGTAATTGTGCAAAGATGTTTCTACATACTATGTCATATATTGGGTGGTGTAAATACTATATCACAAATTGGGTTGGGTTGATTCTGTTCATTAACAAATTAAAGGAAGTATTGCATGGCAATGATCTTTCCTTTTTCAGTCAAAATGAATAAAAAATTTAGCCATTATCAAAATACTACCCCCTTATTGCATGCTGAATTACTTTCTAGGAACATCAGCATTTTAACATCTTTTAGAAACTTACAGGTATTTTCGATGTCCTAAGGAACTCCAGCAGAGCCTCCAAGGAGCCCAATGTGGACGCCTGGACAAACACTCCACGCTCAGACAACTTGATTGAGCCAAGAACATCCTTCAGGGCATTTGCCAGTTCCTCCTGGAAATGGCAGAATATATTCATTAAAATAGACTTCATGGGATATGAAACATGGTCATTCTTCGTTTAAAATTGGAACAACAAAAAATAAATAATGAGAATTAATTTATGTACTGATTTAATATCTCAATAAATATTTACTATGCCATCTTTGTCTGGCCCGTTTCAACTTCAGCTACAATAAATAAAATCGAAAAAAAAAAGTGAATTGCAATGTTCAGTGAGGTAAGTTTTCCTCATCCAGCTGCTCACCACAGGGCAGCAGGTCTGAAACTCTATCCTGAGTCATCACTACACTGCATACATGGGGGCATATTTACTTTGTCAATTAGGCATATTAAAATAAAAAATTTCATCCATATTATCACAAACATGATATGACCAAAAATTAATGCATCAAATTTCCTGTAAATTTCCAGTTAATCGTAAATATTTTCACACTTTTTTAGTTTCACAGGTTGCTTTCTGATTTATAATGATTAAGCAAAACAAAATGAATATGTATTTCATTTTTATTTCTCTTTACCTTGTATATCTCTATTTCATCTGGATACCTGGCCACATACAGGGGCAGACCAGCTAGAGTCTTCTCTAGGTCCTTGGCAATCAGCTTCACTCCCTGAGCTGCCACGACTACTTTCTGCTTCTCATATTGGTTCTGCAACAGAAACAAATTATCTTCTGATAAATAGTGAGACTGCTTGTACTTTTACACTTTTACATTTGCATCTGCAGCCTGTGCTTCCAATTGCATATGCTTCACAAAGTAAGTTAATCACAAAAACAAAAGAAAAAAAAACACATGATATACTGCCCAACAAAACCTACACGCCCATGGTTAGTGAGTAAAATAAATACATTAATTAATTAAAATAATTAAATAAATAAAATAATAAATTTTCAACCAAACCTACCTTGACCCTCAGTTCCTTCATGGCTGGTGGCATGAGGAGACCACGTATCTGTGTGACTATGGGACCATCTGTTCCAGGGACCACAACCGTCTGACCTTCCTCCAGTTTACCATTCACTAATATCACATCAATAGTTGTACCTAGACCCTGGATGGCTTTCACCTAAAATGTATTATTCCTGTTCATTATCACTGTTCTTAAAGCTGTTACTGCAATAGTAAGCACAACATCTTGCATAATTAAAAAAATATGTGCAACAAACATTATATTCCTTGGTATTTTCACATAAAATAATTCAAGAGTAATGAATAATGAACTTAATTCTTTTAAGTAATCAATTTACTAAAAATAAGACTGACTGCTGATACTAATTTTGAATGCTATGCTGTACAGTGCTGCCACCTATGATCAATTAAGAGTACCTCCATGACAGTAGCTTGGAGCTCTTCACTGTAGGAGATTCTCTTTGCCAGCATGGTTTGTGTTAGTTCACAGATCAGAGCCAGCAGGTTCCCCATGCCGTCCCCTGTGTGAGCAGATGTGGGGACCAGGGACACATATTCGCGAGGGTTTTTGTTCTCATAAAACAGGGCAGCATTGAGACTCTGAAATCATGTACAATAATTATATAGTGAAACAGGACAAGAACCGATTTGGACTATTTAGTCTATAAATAATTATCTGACAAAATACAATGCATACATACAAGGATTAATTACCACATTATCATCTCTAAGAAAGAAATCCATTAATTATATAACCCATTTATTCCAAATTTTCGTTTATTTATATAATAACAATCCTTTCTAATCTTATTTAATACACTGAGCTTTATACAACATTTCTCTAGAAAACTAGGTGGCTGATGACACACATAATAAAGTTGCAGGTCTTTTCTCACCTGCTCTGCAAACTGAACAATAACTTCCTGGACTCTTTCATCAAATTCATCCTTAGTGTTCTTACTCTGCTTCTTTATTGTATTCTGAACATCGTTATTTGGATTGCTCTTCCATTGGAATAAACGATCAATCTGAAAATAATTTGTTTACATTTAACCAAACATTTAATAAATTTTATAAATCTTTTTTTTTTGCAGAAGCCTAACAAGGTAAAAATCTGGCGTGCAGCAGCCTTTGATCAAATGTATTGATATAAGAAAGCACTTGTGTAATATAAACTTGATAAGGCATCAGCTCTTAAAACTTCAAAAACTTATGGATTTTGAGGCATCATTCTCTGACTTACTTAGTAGTAACAAACTTTTAACTTACACTCTTTTTACTTACTCTTAATTTCTCTTTATCCATTTATCATAAAATCTAATTAGATAGCCACCCACCTTGTTTAGAGCTACTACAAAAGGTGTCTTCCTGTCCCTCAACAGATTAATGGACTCCAGTGTTTGGGGTTCTAATCCATGCATAATATCTACCACCAAGATGGCTATGTCGCAGAGGGAGGAGCCACGAGATCGAAGGTTACTGTAAGCATCAAACAATTTTATCTGCATATTTATAGAAAATTAATTCAAATCAATCACCATGCTCAAACTCTGATAACTAGGCACTCAGACTTACAAATGCCTAAAAGACATAATAAATGCAAGAGTGTATTCCTATACTAGGTATATAAAACTTTCACATACCTGAAAGACTCGTGACCAGGAGTGTCAATAATCAGCAATCCAGGAATTTTAAATTCTTGTTTTGAAAACTGTAAAAAGTTATTTTATATAATGGATTACAAATTCACTAATGAAAAAAATTTTAACACAATACAGTGAGGCAAAAATTGCCTTATAAAAGTTATACCCTATGGTTTGCTTCAGTATCAAACAAAATTTTGAAGCAAATTTCAAGTTCTTATCTGTATAACATAATGTTTTGGGATAAAATTAAAATTAAAAATATCATTTCTGACCATTTCTTTAAATCTTGTTATTTTAATATTGCACAAGCAGATGTGATCTCACCTCTTTGCACATAGAAGTGGCTCTCTGGATGGCATCCCCTGGCACGTTGGTGGCTCCAATCTGTTGTGTTATGCCACCAGCCTCTCCGTCCTGGACATTGGTTCTACGGAGCTAATAATGGTATTAAATTTTTAAAATATAACCATCCACTAAGATAAACAAGCACGAATCATTAGTTCTTAAAGATAATTTGAAAAAACCCCAGACAAATAATCAGTAAACACCCATGTGTCGACGAGCAAAAATTGGAAATAACATAGGTGCAGGCTATAAGAAACCTCAACTCCACTACTGCATTTACAGCACGAGCATGAAACCTTTGTCACTGTAGAAACACAGAGTCAAAACACACGTACCCAGGGGCCCAGCTTTGGATCGTGTTATTTTGATCTGAGGTAGTTTAACTAAGGCATGAGCCGACCACCCCCAAACACAACAACCAAACAGAAGTAGCGAACAGAAGGTTATTCAATCTAATCCAGTGTGTGCCTCACCTGTGATAAATTGCTTTCTGTTCAAGTTAGATTTATGTTCAATGCATTACCAATATTGTCAGAATTATCAAGGGGCTACCCCAATTTATATATTAAAAACTTCTTCAAGTTATGAAAAATTTCAAAGTCAAGTAACATTTTCTGCACTTGGCCCCAATTTCACTAAAAAACTTCAATCAGTTCCAGTGGCTAACATCTTTGTCACCAATGTTACATGGTCACATCTTACCATATCAGGAACAGTGTTACAGCTAGGGAACTGATTTTAAGTTTTTTTTTTGTGATAGTAGGGCTTGGTGACGTCATTTACCACATGCCCCACTTACTTTGTCTAAGATCTTCGTCTTCCCTGTATCTACATGGCCTAACACACATACAACAGGTGCTCTCAGGTAGTCCACAGACCTCTTGGCCTCTGCTTCTTCTTTGAATTTCTAAAGAAAAGAGAATTCTAGGTCAGTGATACATGTCTCTGTGCCAGCAGACATGGATAAACATAAAAAAAAAATTGATAAGCATGTAATCTTTTCATTAGGGGACCTACTGGCAGCTGTTATTATTATAGATAATATAGATAAGGTATATTTTTTTCTATGATGTTTTTTCTTTGTCTATATTTGAGATATGTTGACAAGGTGTTCTTTCTTGACTCTTGTATCAACAATTATGAGACAAGGAAAAGGAAACTGTTTCAAGGAATTCTTCGTCTACCACAGCTATAGCATCCAATTTTCTTAGAGTTCTTACCAGAATTCTGGCCCAAGCTTTCTCCTTCGGGTCTACATCCTCATCACTTTCCTCCTCTGAAGACTCTTCCTCACTTTCTTCCTCAGAATCCTCCTCGTCCTCATCATCATCATCTTCCTCTTCCTCATCTTCTTCCTGAGACTCTGACACTTTTTTACTTTTTGTTTCTGGAAGGATCAGTTTCTTAATGTACTTCCTAGACAACACTGCCAAAAATGCATAATGTATGTCAGTTAATGTCACTTGAAAATTGTTCCCTTTTATCAACTTAAAACAAAAAAACAGATGCACCCCATACTAATCACAATTTTTCTTACCTTCCTTAATGTTTTTGTCAACTTTTTCTTCCTCCTCCTCTTCTTCTTCACTGCTTACATCCCAGGCATCTTTGGGCTCTTCTTCTACCTCCTCTTCCTCATCAGCTTTAATTTCTTCTTCAATCTGCACATCAGCAGCTGTCTCAGAGGTTGGTGACTCAGGAGCTTCTGAGGTTGGTGTGTCTGGCTCTTTTTCTGTCAGTTTTAAAGGATTTTAAATTTAACAAAATACCACATATTTAAGAGAAAATATTATAATTTTCTAAATAAGATGAGGAAATCGTTACACAAACATCTGGGCCCAGTTTCATTAATATTGGATAGCGCTAGCCTATGGATAACACAATCCATTGGATGAGCTTGCTATCCAATATTATAATGCACTCTTTACATACCTTCCTCTTGCTGTCCTGGCCTCTTTTTTCTAAGCCTTTCATAACGAGGTTTCTTCTTTTCCTTTGCATCAGGAGCTTCTGGAATCTCAATACCTAAAAAGCACCCAAATTATGAAAATAATGAGTAATTCAGTCAATTATGGACTAATACATATTGATCTTTACCTCATAATTGACAAAACTACAATAAAAATAACACCATTTTTTATCTGTAAACTTATATCTGTTAAATAATATTCTGGAGTATGAACATGCCTCATACAAGCAAGAACTCGGCTCAAAAAGGTAAAACAATTCATTTGTAACAATGAAGCAGATTTCTTAAGTAAATATTTTGCACAGTGATTTGCAAAGGGGATATTAACAAATTTCACACTTAACCTAACATTATTTGTAAGAAAATTGTTGTTTTTACCTTGCTGCTTCATCACTTCCAACATCTGCTGTGCCCTCTTTCGATCCTGCTTTTGCTTCTCAGTCAACAGCTTGCCTTCCTGCTTAAGGCGCTCTTTTCTCTCCTTTTCTTTTTGCTTTTTCTTCTGCTTTTTCTCCTCTTCCAGCCTTTTCTGTGTTGAAGAAAGGGAGCAATGTGATGTTTGTTTGAACTTTTTAAAATCCTTGACTGGTATTTTTCAACATTTAAATTTGTAAAATTTAATCGCTGATTAACTTCAATATCTAACTATGATGACATTCTTTTTATTAAATAATGGGACTTTTTAATAAATGTGATCTGTATGGCAAAATTTGAAGCAAACACAAATTGAGAAAACTTATATAGTTTTTCAAATTATAATTCTCATAAAGGATAAATCTTAAGAAATTATGATTGTCATAAGGCACAAATGCAAGAACTAGAGATTGTAAATAATGTCAACATGTCAATAATGTTGATCTAAAGTTGTTTGTGAAAAAAAGCTCCTTAAATTGGAGAAAAGTTGTATAAATAAAAATGGAATCTCTCTCACCTGTTATTTCAAGGTGTGTGGTTATTCTGTTATGGTCATTTTCTTATTAATTTACAACATAACTTACCTGCTCTTCTTTTAATCTTATTCTTTCCTCTTCCTGTCGTATCCTCTCCTCTTCTTCACGTTTCAGACGTTCTTCCTCCTCTTTCATCTTTTTGAGTTGTTCTTGCATTGCCCTCACCTGGTCACATATACACATATAACTATAACAGTTTCATTTTTTAAAACAAAATTTAATTTTTCAAAAGTATAAAACAGAAAAGAAGATAAACCTTTCCTTCAACATTGTTGTTGCAAGTCGACTGAAAAGTTTCTGTGATGGTTGAAATATTTTTTTAGGCTCTCATATCCTTATAGCAACGAAAATACCTGTTGAACTTCATACTCTATCATTAAAGCCATATCCCAAAATTCTATATTAGAATGTTAACCCTTACCTGGGCACTTGGTTTCTTTTTCTTTTCTTCCTTTTCTTTTTCTCCTTTCTTTTTCTTCCTGTCCCTTTTCTTCTTCTTGTCACCATCCTCTCCTTCTTCACCTTTTAAAGAAAATGCACACGTAATGTTAAGGAATAATACAATTAAATATCACTTTAAAAAATTTCATCTCTTAGCATACTCTATTTTCATAAATAGGTAGTAATGAAACATATACTTAGAGATATTATGCAAACATGGGGATATACACTTTATTCTGGTTTAGAGGTGTTTTTTGGCGAAATACCAGTACTTTCTCTCGTTAATATGCATGTTAATACAGCGCCACCCTCCTGCATTATATGCCTTGAACACCTCTTATGTCTGGGAGAAAGTATAGTATCTTACACAATATGCAGAGTGACATGCACCAAAAAAAGTGCAAGTTGCTTACTTTTGTATTTCATGGGCAGTGTAACTGTGTAATACAAGCTGAAATATTACCATGCGCCAGAGTCAAACTATTAAGACTTGTACCTTCTTCCCTGGCATCCTCTCCATCTGCTTTGTGTTCTTCTGGTGTAGATTCTGGTTTTATTTCTGCATCTGCTGAAGCTGCTTCTGGTTCAGGAGCAGTTATCGTCTCTGACGGAGCCTCTGAGGCTGACTTTTGTTTCTTGGCCTTTTCCTGTCAGAGAAATAAGAAATAGGAATAGGTTGTGGCATGGATAAGAATGTTATATAAATAATACTAATGGGAACTCCCTCTATTAGGTATCATCAGAATAGTTTTTAAATAATCAGTATGGCTTTCAAAACATTGGGAGAACCCAAACAGACAGTTCATAGAGAAAATCCCTGTTAATGATACATCACGTTTATCAAGAATCTTACACTTCTGATAAATGATTAATACAAACTTGTAATTTCTTCTTCTTTTCTCTTTCTTTCTTCTCCTTTTTCTTTTCAGCTGCTGTCTTTACATGAAATTTCCCTTCGTCCTCCTCAACATCTTTAGCTTCACTGCCTCCTTCTTCCTCCGTTTTATCTACATCTTTTACATCTTCACTACCCTGCTCTGTCACTTCAGAGGAATCATTAATTTGAGATCTTTCCTCTGTTTTTACTTCTGTTTCTACACTAGGTTCTCTATTTTCATTTTCTTCTTGTTGCTGTTTCTTTTTCTCTTTTTTGCTTTTCTTTCCTTCTTGTTTTTCTGAAGGCTCTTCTAGGGCAGCAAGGATTGCATCAATGTCTTCCTCTTCTTGTTTATGTTGTTTCTTTTTGTCTTTTTTCCCTTTCTTCTGCTGTGGAGCTTTGTTATCATTTGATACTTTTGAGTCAACATTGTCTGNAACAGAGCCTGAATTGTTAAATTACTTGTACTTTAGTGAATTGAAAAAGATATCAGTGCTAACGGTCTTCCAAGTACATAATGTTTCCATACCATTTCCAATATTAGAAAAAAACATGTGTGTGTACTAGAGGCTATTCATGCCAAGCAGTGCAATGTAAATGAGTCAAAATTATTAAGAAAAAAATCAATATCCCCAAGCCTTTACTGCACTAGTTGATCCAGGGTTTTACTAAAGTGAAATAATTTCTTTGCTTGCTTTGGTTGACTCTTAAAAGAAACCAAAGGGGACAAGGTGGTAGGTGCCCTTTAAAACTTAACTGAAAACACACTTTAAACATATTTACAAAGTATGAATATTTTTCAGCCTAGTAGTGTTGCTAAATAATACTTTTTTTGTTGTCAATGTTATTTAATTGTAATATTAACATTGTTCTCAATAATTTTAGGTTTTCTGTTAAGCACACTGAGATATTTAAGGGAATGCACCATAAAAGAATTTATATTTATTTTTATCAATAAAATAATCCACTCTTTAGTCTTCAAAGTACCATTCTCCATTACTATTCAAAACCTGTCCATCATACACTGTAAAATGATATCATTATAATAACTAATAATAAATAATTGGTTTCTCATCCACTAAGCATACTTTATCTATCATATCAGGTCTGTTAGTAGCAGCCACAATAGTGACATCCTGGAGTTTATCCACTCCATCCATTTCTGTCAGCAGTTGGGCTAAGACCCGATCAGCTACATTGCTTCCTCCACTTGATCTGAAAATAATTTTTTAACAAAATTGTAGGGAAGGTGTCATATAGAATTATAATTTTCATCAGATAAATGTATTGAATTCAAAAGTGCCATGTTGATACACTGTAATCCATGTGTCAAAATTAAAATGCAAATAAAGCCTTCACTGCATACCTGAACATTTGGAAGGAATGCTTTTCTGAAGTTGTTTCCCAGCCTCATTTTATGTGACATTATGCTTATCATATATGTCTGAATAGAGACATATACAATGTTAGTAGGCCTTGATGCGGTTGGATATAAAACAAAAATTGGGTTGGAGATCTCTCTGGCTCTATTTCATTGCTTAACTCTTCTCCTGCACCAACTTTAAAACATACAAAGCTACTGTAATCGGTCTTACTTTCCCCTCTCAACAGCCAGAGCATCAATCTCATCAAAGAATACAATGGAGGGTGCTGCTGCCCTGGCCTTTCTGAACACCTCTCTGACAGCTCTCTCTGACTCTCCCACCCACTTACTAAACAGCTCTGGGCCCTGGAAATATAGAAAAAACTCTAATGCCGTTTCCCTCTCCTCCAGTTGAAACACATGGTTAAAAAAATAAATGAAATAGAAAAGGGTATGAGAAAAATATAAACTAATTAGAACATGGAACAAGCTGCTAAAACATTTTTTATAATTGCAAGTACATCACAGGTCTTTTAACGAGGCTAAGAATAATGATAACAACATTCACTAAAATGGACATTTCCTTTAAAAATACAGGACATGATTTAAATTACCTTGATGGCTATGAAATTGAGACCACTTTCTGTTGCCAGAGCTTTAGCAATCATGGTCTTAGAGCAGCCTGGTGGCCCATACATCAGGATTCCCCTTGGGGGTCTGATCCCAAGTCTAACAAAAGCCTCTGGATGTTTAAGTGGCCATTCAACTGCCTGTTTCAGCTTCTCCTTCAACACATTTTGCCCTCCTATGTCTGACCAATACACCTAATAGGTAAGATGAATACTATAAAATTCTTTTAGTGTAAATAAGCATTCAGGCATACAATTTAGTTTCACTATCAATTATATTAGTTATACAATGCAGTTTGAATATGAATTTTATACATATTGGAACCAAATTGCAAAATACCACCCATTAGTTCTACAATACAATATGAAGAGGTTAAACAGCAACAGAAAATGTCTTTTTTTTCCTACCTTTGGCACATCAATTGCAACTTCCCTCATTGCACTTGGCTTCACAGAATTTAAGCCAAAGACCATGTCATCCATGGTGACAAGTACAGGGACGGAACTGTCACCTCCCTGCTTAGCTATATGGCTCTTTAAGGCATGCAACCCACCTTGAATATAAGAAGTATGGTCTGGTACATTGTACTAAGGCATGCTTTTAACGATAATTTTGTACTCCCCATTTCAAATGATCGTCTGATAACGATTACTGGTTCTTCATCATTGGAATAAATCCAATTTCTCGACCAACCATTTCTGTATATTGGGGCAAGAGTCATGACATTTGATTGTCCTCATCAGTTAAATGTTTACTGTTACATTGTTATTAGGCTGCCTCCTGAAATGGGTACCCTGTAAGTACCAGTTAGGTTGACCCATCTCCAATGGTAACAGGCCTTTTTTAACTTAGCGAAAAAGATGATACTAGTCCACCTGGATGTCAGTATTGGAAGAGTCCTGAAGCAAACCAAGTGCCTTTTACAAATGTACACTATCATAATTTCATTTAGATTCATCTTTAACATATTGATATGACATCTAACTGCAAATTCTGAGGGTGTATGTGCACAACACTTTTGGCTGAAACAAAGATTTATTTTTACAAAGAAATAAAAACACCTCTATTTAAATGAATTCAACAAACCTTCTTTACAGGCATTAGCTAAATCAGCCCCTACAAAACCATGAGCACTGTCAGCCAGTGTTTTTATATTGTCTGCACTTAGTGAATGGTGCACCTTTGAAAGTAATTTCTGGAGTATCTGTAAAATAAGTGTAAAAATTGATAAAGCTGATAAAAAGCTTACAAAAACTAAAATTTGCTATATGCAAATCTTCTGTTAGATGTCATAATTTAATATAATAAATTAAAAAATTAGTAAAATGTACCACTTCTAATTCACATTTTTCTTGTTTTACAATGCTGGTGTCACTTTTGACTATACTGATTTTACTTTTCTCTTATATATTCAAATTATACAGGTACATGTAACAGTAACCTACATTTGTATAAAGCATATTAAACAAAAATCCGTCTAAGGAAACAATCATGCTACTGTAGACATACATCCTCCCTATCTCTAGCTGTAGGGATCCCTATCTCAATCTCTCTGTCCAGTCTGCCAGGTCTCCTCAGAGCTGGGTCAATACTGTCAGGTTTGTTAGTGGCTGCTAGCACCAATACCAGTCTGGAACCCTGCTGTAATAAGATACAGTGACTCATGCATAACTAAGGCTTCGTTCACATGGAATGTCTATTTTCTAAATTCTATTTTCTATTCGCGCTATCTTATGATCACGGTCTGTGCCCTGAATATCCCGCCGCGTAATTACTGGCAGCGCGAGCCAGTTACTTATAGTAACTTATAGTAACTGGCTCGCGCTGCCAGTAATTACGCCGCGGGATATTCAGGGCACAGACCCTGATCATAAGACATACCGCGAATAGAAAATAGAATTTAGAAAATAGACATTGCATGTGAATGAAGCCTAAGACTGCATTCCCACAGATTTTTAGATTGATCTATCCCCGTGGGGAGTCTCACTAGATTGCTATCAGCATAGCTGACTTAAATGTCTGTCCCGCCTACTAAAAGCTGGAACGGGGTAAATAACTTTAGTGCGTGCGCCGGTGACAGCAATTTAGTGTGAACCCCCAGGGAGTTCGGTCGATCCAGATGGATCGATCTAAATCTGTGGGAATGCAGTGTAAGGCTTCGTTCACATGCAATGTCTATTTTCTAAATTCTATTTTCTATTCGCGGCATGTGTTGTGATCACCGTCTGTGCCCTGAATATCCCGCGGCGTAATTACTGGCAGCGCGAGCCAGTTACTATAAGTTACTATAAGTAACTGGCTCGCGCTGCCGGTAATTACGCGGCGGGATATTCAGGGCACAGACCGTGATCATAAGATAGCGCGAATAGAAAATAGAATTTAGAAACTAGACATTGCATGTGAACGAAGCCTTAGTGTTCAGTATAAACAATGCATACTAGTAAATGTTATTTTAATGTGCTGAAAGCTGGTTTGTCACTGGTTAAATTAACAAGTTTAAAAGTCTTATAATGATCAGAGTTCGGATTGTTTCAAATGATGAATAAAATGAAACAAAGCTGATATACTTAGACATATAGTTTCAACATATTTTGTCCACATACCTGTTCTATACCATCCATTAGAGTTAGTAGGGAGGCTACAACCCTTCTCTCCAAGCCACTGTTACTACTTTCCCTCTTTGGACATAGGGCATCCAGTTCATCTATCAACACCAGACTTGGTGCTCTTCAGTAATTAATTAATTACAATAAAATATTCGCATTCAAAAAAAATCAAAAACAGAAAATTAATTGTACAGATGTGGTTGAAAGTGAAGTATGCACATGCAAATAATGCCAGCACCTACACTTTTCTTTATTTGTAAAACGTAAACATTTTGCATTTTGTTCCATTTTAATCTAAAATATAAGAATTATATCAATATATCAAGAAATCTGAAAGTATAAAAGATTATCTACCATTCAAACCATGCATTTCTTTCTTGAAAACTAATGTTTTTTTTTATTTCCACATAGCCAAACTGGGTTTTGAATATAGGGCAAATGCACAAGTGCATGATACCCATATTTGCTTACTTGTCTATGGCCTCTTGAAAAATCTTTCTAATACGTGCTTCTGTCTCTCCATAAAATCTATGGAAGAAAAATAGTGTGTAAGAAAAATAATAAAGATAAAAATTAAAATCAAAATCATATTTTTCAAATTGTCATAGGAAACATTTGACACAGACATTCAAAGTGAAAAAATAACCAGCTGTAGTTTTCTTGTCAGTAGATTTAAAGGTAATTTACAATACATAAAGTACACATTTGTCAATTTACATATCCAGTTAATAGTCCACATCTTACTTGCTCCAAATTTCTGGAGCACTCAGCATGATGACATGGGCACTGGTTTCACTAGCCACAGCTCTCAGCAGCAGTGTCTTTCCTGTACCACTGGGACCATATAACAACACACCCTTAGGAAGGCGTAAACCTGATAGACAAACATTTTTAGATTTCTAGACAGTTTGGACTTTTGCTTAATTTTCAATTATTCCTCTATACCTAAATAAACATTATTTCAATGTAATATATATTTGAGCATTAGGAAAACAACATTTCATAGAACTCGGTCTGTTATGGTGACCCTCGTTACTGATGAAACTTTCACAAGCTTAAAAGCTATTTGGCATGAACTGTTCACAGACTGAACATTAGTTTACCGAATGCCTTGAAAAGTTCTGGCTCCTTCAGTGGCAATTCAACCATTTCCTTTATGGAGTCCAGCTGCTTGACCAGTCCACCTATACTGCTGTATCCAATCCTGTCTTTTTGTCTAGGCTTCTTGTCCTCACAATATCCATCGAAAATTACCGTGATGTTTGTTGACTTGTTTATGAAATAAAATGTATTACTCTGACCATTACAAGGTTGTTGGCGCTGGGGAGTTTGAAACATCCTGCTAGAACTTTTGTCAAGATCTGAAACTGTTTTAACAGGAGTCGATGTCTGAAGGCTGCCTTCCCCAGACCTTTCACTCTGAAGAGATTCTGAGTTCAAGTCTGAATTCTTTGATACATCATTATCCATCAAAGATGACTGGTTAAGAGAACTATCATTCGGCTTGACATTTTCATTGTTTTCAGAGAGTTCACTAAAACTTAGATGAGACATATCAACAACCAGGTTAGCCTCATCATAATCACTCATAGCACCAGATACACTGGGTAGGGTCTTAGGTAAATCCAGCCTTGGGCCCGTCACGTGTGATACTTGCAATCTGCACTGTTGTCCATAATACTTCACAACTAGCTCATTCCCAGTGCATAAGTATTTTTTGTCTAAAAATGAAATAAAACATATAAGTGAAGATTTATTATTAATACTGATTTTAAAACAGCAAGACAATGTCTACTACTTCATAATTTATGGAAGTAAAAAAAAAAAAGAGTTCCCACTTGTACTTCAAGTATTAATATTAACTGCAAAACTACAAGCAAGTTTTTGTTAAACATTTTCTAACAACAGAAACATTTAAATTATATTTAAAAAGTCATATGAATGCCTGATCTACAAAGTAGGAACAATATTAACAGCTATTAAGCTGATTAATGGGAAACAATTTACAACAACTGTACATAGTAAGATGCATACTTAGATATTGCTTTAAGTAATCTTTGAAATCCTGACTTGACATAAAATCCTTGAACTCTCTGAAGATAAATATAACTCCTTGTTATTTGCAGTGACTATGAAAAGTATTTTAATACTTAAAACAGTAAAACTGACAGCTAGTGCACTTGTTAACTTAATTAATTTTACAATATCAATATACTAACATTATTTATGTAATTAGCAACAATATAGTGACATCTTGGTAAATGGTAAGACATAGTGGACTATCTTTACCTAAGATGTCATATATCTAACTACCACACAGTTTTGATTAATGGATCACCCCAAAGAAAATTTCCCTCTATAAAACTGTAACCATAATAAAACTTACTTTCATGTCCAATATAAACAGAATATTAAATGCATATCAGCACCTTAACTAAACTCTGATACAGTTAATTTGTAAGAAGAGCATTGACAAATGATTTTTGTGAAGCATATAATGTATTGTGCAGGAGAAAACAATTTGGAATGACCCTTTAGTCTTTTATTACCCTGCCACCATAACAGCTTCTGTTGCTGCCAAATGAGGATCCACAAAAGCATCCACAGTGACAGTGTTATCAATGCCTACACCCAATGCATCCCTCTGATGTTCTGTTAGCCCTACACCTGATAATGCAATGGCAGTGCTGGGCCAAGCAGTCATCATCCACGTTGTGTTCAAGATCACAGGTTTCCCTATGGACATATTACAAAGTTTCATTGTGCTTGGGTGAAGTAGTACCAAGTCTCCCTTAAGAGATGTTGGAAGTTTGAGTTCTTTATCTGAAAGAAAAATGTAGTGATAAACAATTTTGAGAAACAATGGAGCTTGCATGACTCACTTAATTTTGTCACAAATCTGTGCATAAATGGACTTCACGAATGTGCCATTTTTAACTGCAATTGGCTAGCCTTCGATATAAAGCTTAGGAGACAAAAAGTTACTTTGGATCGATGTGGCATATCATATATATTGAATACCTTTTTCAATTGCACTGCGACACACCATGGCATACAATGTTGCACCACGTATGAACCCATGGCCTAGCGCCTTCAAGTCCAACTGCTCCGTTTTTGTACAGTTTACGGAATGTTTTTCCTGATCTTTATCACTCACGAGAATCCCACAGTTTTTACATTCACCCCATGATGGATTGTTCTTCTTAGAACCCTTAGATGGCGTTTTTGGGGGCATTTTGTATTTCTCTCCTAAACCAACACGTGCGTACGTCTGCTCTTGTCCGCCATGTCAAAACATTATGGTCACATGACACCACGAAACGAGACTTGTGATATATAATCGTTTCTTGGTGAAATTATTTGAATATATATAACACTAATCAATACATTTGAATGTTCAGAGAGCTTACGTGGCAGACTCTTACATAAAATTCCCTCTTATTAGTGGAATATGCAAAACTCCCACAGTCACACGTGATTATCCAAACGAGATTTCGGAAGCCTACCATTTTGTGCACGGCATTTTGTTGTCGTGTGGTTGCAAAATAAATCGTCAAAATTGTTACGTGTGACAAATAATGCAAAGTAAAGGACGGTTCTGCGAATCAGCGAAGGGTCTGAATTAGTCTACGTCGTTGTTGAAAGCTACATACAACAAAGATTTGTGTTAATATTCAAAGAGAACAAAGTAGCCGGGGTCCGAGCTTGCTCCAAGAAACATGCTCATCGAAAATGTTGACGCTTTGAAAGCATGGCTCACAAAAACACTGACACCCATGTAAGTATGATTCTTTGCATTTCCTGTTTTCTTGCTTGTTTTTAATTGCAAGATATTTCTAGTTTGACCCGGCCATGTCAAGGTCAGACAGGTGAAAATGTGTTTTAATAATTGACCAGTTTGGAAGTTGAAAATGAAACTTGAAAGCTCCAGCAGTCTTTTCAGTCAATGGACATGAGCGCACTAGGTCGTTTGCAGTACCTACGTGTGAGTAGTCATCAACTGGTAGTTTATATTCTGCACACAATTTGATAAAAAAATATCGGTAATACTAATATTGCCATTAGTTTGATGATGTGTTGACCCATTTTCCACCTTGTGGTGTAGTGATTTAGGGGAAAATACCATACTGGACAAGGGCTGGAATACGGAGCTGGCTCATCATGCTAGTGCTCTACCCACTGAACTACTGAGCCCAGGTTAACCCAGCAAACAGGGGAATCAAAATATTGAAAAAGTTCTGTTTATGCAGTAAAGCATGCATGTATACATATGATGGATTTGATCTTCCATCTGACTTTACTAGAAGGCTAAAGGTTCTCTACATTTATATACAGGCATGGTAAGAAAAGAGGTTACCTTCGATTTTGCATGAATGCTAACATGACCTGTGTTTTTCTGTTTTATTATTTTTTTCTGAGTTTAAATCACTCAGAGAAGTAAGAGTTTCTGAAGAGAATAATGTTCTATGAGTTGAGGTGCTCTTTGTATCCATAAGAGGTTTAAAACTGGAGTGGCATTTTGTTGAAGCATACAGGGATTGTTTTGTAATGTGAAATATGTGCTGAGCAATTTACACTTTATTCTTTTAGTCAAGTGCAGCAAATTAGCACACCTATATTCAGAGTCACCTAGTGAACAAAAGGAAGAACCCTTGTAAATTGATAATTTCATTTTGCAAAAAAATATCCATCCAGAATTTATCCAATTTTTTAATGAAGTACTTCATATATGCCCTTCTGAATAGATGAATTAATGAAGATTGTCAGCAAGTCAAGAAAAACCCAAAGCTCTGGAGACATAAGTTCGATCCCTGGTTAATATTTCATATGTGAAGTACCCAAGCACCAATAATGATGAAATGAGTAAAGATATTGATATTTGGGTCCTGTTTCAGAATGCCTGTAGGTCACTTCTGCTGACCTACAGGCATTGCTAAATCAACTTTTCATGCTTTTTGCAATAAAGGGCAAAAGATAGGGTAATTCCCACTTCAACATGAATGTGAAGATTTAATTAAATAAAAAAAGTGAAAATGATTGACTTTTTTTTCAAAAGAAAGAAAGAAAAGAAAGAAAGAAAAAATATAAACCAATATGAAAATTATTAAAAACTTATTTTCTAGATTTACTTATTAGCATGTAGGTCCAAGAAGTAGTACATTGGTAGTGACAAACTTTAAGCTAAGCAATAAGTAAATTTACTAAGATTGTCACCATTGTGCAAATGACTGGGCTGATAATTTAACAAGAGGTCTCATTATTTTGAGTGTCAATTAAATTCAACCACTGCAACAAGTCTCTTCCTTGTTTTTGTGTTACAGTGTATCTGCATATGTGATATAGCTACAGTTTCCTTGGTGCATTTTAATGAAGAATGCCTCCATTGTCTACCACAGTGATGTGCTGTGACTTAGAATAATCATTAACTGTAAACCCTCAATAATTGCTGCTTTTGTGCACCAAATTATAGTTCATGATCAAATTACTGAAAGAAATGTATTATACGTTTATAAGGCACTCTCTTTAAGAAAAAATATATTATACAAATACCCTGTAAATAACAAGGGCATTGCTGTTTCTAGTTGTGATGCAGATCCAGAAGCTCTTGCAAAATACATCGTTGCCTTGGTGAAGAAGGACAAGACTTTGGAAGAACTCAGGGAACTGTGCAATGACCAGTTAGAGGTGTTTTTACAAAAAGGTAATTTTGGTACACATGGTCTTGCAAGTTGTAGATTTGTCTGGTTGCTTGTAATTGGTTAAAAGTTGCATTTTTAAAAATCTATTTTAAAGTAAAATATGCTGAAGGGTTACCTTGTGTTTAGTGTGTGGCCAAGGTATAAGTAAATATTCATACATAAAATTTACCTGTCTTATATTTCCATGGAATGGGTGAACAAAATGGAGTTGCCCCCTGGCAGTTGCTCTTAACGCAACTCTTTTTTTTAGTTGGCATAACCAGTAGCATGTCCTACATTACTTTCTTTATTATTTAATTTGATGCAAGCACTAGTTTTTTAAACTCGGACATCACGAAAGCACTAGTAAGAAAACAAAGTTTACATTGATTATGCAGAAACCAAATCATTTGTGGAGTCCTTATTTGTGAGTTTGGATAACAAGTCCTACCAGCATGTGGACAGTGGAGTAGCAAAGGGGCATCAGGCACAGCAGTCACAGCCACCAACTTCACAGCATTCAGCTCCAGGAAATACAGAGAAAAGAAGAAAGTCTGATGAGGTATTGTATATGTTGTATTTGGAGGCAGTGTTTAAAATAGAACCAGTCTGGAGGCATAGAAATGCCTGGAATATCAGTGCATAAGCTGGTATACAACTTTTTATTTGGCTTGTGATCTTGTGAATTAGAATCTTTCCTTTTCATCTGGGATTGGCAAACATGCAAGGAATTTTTTAAAATATTAATTCTGTACATGTTAGTACATGACTGGAGGCATTTGCCTCAGTTAGAACATCCCTAGACAAATTTAACTGGCCATTATGGAGTTGTTCTATCCCTAGAAATAACATGCTATCACCATGCAACATCTAGCTATAGGCATTTAGGTAGACATTTAATCAAAGAATGATATTGCTATTTATTTATTTATTTATTTATTTATTTATTTATTTATTTATTTATTTATTTATTTATTTATTTATTTATTTATTCCATTTCATTTCTTTTTTTTTTTTGCTTTCTGGAAATGATTTTTTCATATAGTGATCTATTAGCAAAAGTAAACAAGTGTTTTGCATTTTCTTTAGGAAAGCAAATTATCTTTATTAGTTTGCTATAATTTGTTAGTCAGTGTCCTTCAAACTGTAAATTCAGGTCTTGGAATGGTGTCTTTAAGCAATCTGTTTTCATTATATGTTTGCCTTGAACAAGTAGATGCCTGTATCGTGAAAATAAAAAAGGCATTCTTATTTCTGGTTTGGCACTAATTTATGCCCTATCCACTGCACAGAATGCTAGAGTACCAACCCCCATTAGCACACAGTGGCTGCCCTGCTTATGGCTGTCAGTGTAGGAGAAGGGGGTAACAATATAACCCTAACTATTTTTTTTCTCAACAAACTAATTTATTTGAAATTTGAGATGAAAATCATCCAGTGCAAGTTTTCTCAGTGTTTTAGTTCCTTATTTGAAGGCTGTAAGATTTTTTTTCAAAAAAGTTCCAATTGCTAATGTCACAGTTTTGCAACTGGAATGATGAATAGCAAATACATTATCAATTTGCCCTGTTCTAGCTCCCAGACAAAGAAGACCGTGACCACAGAAGGACAAGGAGCAGGAGTCCCAGGAGAGGAAATGACAGGTAATGAAGAATTATATGCTTATTTGCAGGTTAAATTGTATGGTATTCAGAAAAGGTTTTAGGTAAATGTTAAAAAGCTGCTGATTTGATATAAACTTTTAAGAAAAAAATTGCAAATACATGAAAGCAGTGATCTTTTTATTATTATGTACAGACACAGATGTGTCTGTACATATTGCCATCACCTGCGTCTGTCGTCGCCGTCGCCGTCGCCGATCATGTCGCCGTGCACTTTCAGCGTTAACACCATAAGTGGAAGACAGTTTTATTTTTTGGCTTTATATTTACAGAGCTGACTAATATTCATAAAACGCAGGTCAAGTTCGAAAATCAGCATGATCTGGCCATTATTGTAGAATTTATGCTGTTTTTCTCTTTTTAGCATATATGCAACACTGTTAACACATTTCAAGGAAAACCGATAGGCCTGTTGTCATGAAACTCACAGGAGTAATCAATCTTACTAAAAC